AAACATAGCCCATGAGTTGTCCCGCCTGGTGTACACGAATACCACATCCCTCCCGCGCAAGCCACACGCGTCGCCGTTTCGCCCTATCTACGCTAAACGAACTGAATGCGCCAAGCGAATGCGACATTTGTACTTCGTGAAACGAGCCCGGGCAAAACCCTTTTCAAATTCATACTCTCATGTCATCTGCGAAATTTTCAGAGAATGAGGCAGGAATTGATAAAAATGAACAGCTTCACTAAAGCTATAGTAAATTCGGAGCTTTCTCTCCAAGCCAACAAAACTGATGATTTAGTGGAGATGTGTTAGTCCTGGGGTATGAACACACAGAATAGAAATCGATAAAGGAAATATCGCTCACTTGAGTTCTATGAATCCCACAGCGCCCTTGATTCGTTCGCTGGCCTGCCGATGTACTGGAACGGCTACCGTTTCACTTGCACCAACTCTTTTCTTTTCCTTCTTTTCCAAATCTAGCTTCTTCTTGGCTACAGCTGTTGATAATCTGAATGAATGCAATCAGCTTTCAACACAATAAAGAAAGGAAGTTGTTCGTCAGCTCACTTGGCCTGTTTTACTGAATTTATAAGCACATCACTGCTGATCTTCACCGTTGATTTTCTGATTTGTGCCTGAAAAAAATTAAAGCGAAATAGAGTAATACGTAAAGAATCATTTTATTGGTTTGTGGCTTCAAGAGCTGATAAAACTGCTGATTATAACGAGCGATCAGTAAACCAATCGCAACAGTAACAATTCACAAAACATACCTTTTCTTTCCGGCCCAGAACACTTGCCAGAAGCTTTTCATGTTTCACTTCATCAAAGTCATCATCTGACATCTGCAACCTATCAGCTTACTAAAATAACATAGTAAAACACACCGGCCACAAGATAACCACAGTGTTTCACAAGTATTAGAACAAAAAAGCAAGACAACATGTGAAATCACTTTATCAACCGCACTATAGTGAAAACAGGTACAAAAACAATAAATATGAATTTAAGTGCATTATTAATCAATACGCATCGGTACTGTATACGATTAACATCAGGTAACACGTGTGGACGGAACCAGTTCATAGAAACTTCAGCACACGTTTTTCTTTAGTCTCTGTTCGCAATAGCATTGAGGTGATGATCGACTTGGTCATTCGTCAGTTTCCTTTGAAGAGATAATTTTAGAAACCAAAACAGAGAACGATTGGTCACAAGGAAAATTGTGGTCCGATAGCTTTCCCACAACTTATTATTACCTATGTAGGAGAGCCAAGAACCACATTCCTAGTTGCTCATTTCAAAAGCTAAAACTGGACATTACACTCACTTGAAGCTTTGATCCTTCTTCGATACCACCACCACTTCGAGATCCTTCGAGCGAGTTTCGATTCCAAGACTGCTTTGAAGCGGCTTCGATAGCAAGTTGAATCGTCTCATCGGATTAATCTGAGCTTCTTCTTTAATCGTCTTTCGAGAAACGACGAAGCGCGAACCGAGATAAAGCCTACTTTGAAAAAACTAGTGAACTAAATGAAGTGTTATAAAATCGAAAATGACTCAACGAGGCCAGCATATTCCGCCCCTTCGGCCCGTCGAACATCCATCGGACGTGGCGGTCGATCGATACGTATCTAATGCTGTGTGATGGTTACGACGGACACCAACTATGGAAGCGCCCAGATACTTTTGAATGACATGTACAAAAAACGCCCCTACAGCGCGACCAATTTCAAATATACTCGCGTAGGTGCGAGCAGTCGGAAGTGCGCGACAACATGATCAGCCACTAGCACGGACTCAAGCTCTTCACTCGAAGGTGTTCCTAGCCCGACTACATAAGAGAATTCAGGCATTATGCAAAAAGCAGCACCAGTTCGGATAATGAAAAAGAAGAGAATTAGTAAAACTTGCCTACACTGCCCCTTCACTCCCACCGACACAGCCTTCATTCCACGGTAGTACCCAGCTGGATCAACTTTGAATACGACAGCACCATCTTCGTCATCAAACGAGATCATGATCATTGCTATAATAAAATTTTTCTTTTTCTTTTCTTTTTCTGCTAAACTCAAAATGATCGGAACTTTTAAAAAACCGCAGCTGCAGTAAAACCTACCGCATCCGAGACTTCTCATTTCAGCGTTCTGTGTGTAGTACTGATTTTTGTCAGCCATTTTCTTTGCCAGAAGTTCACATGGCATATCGTAGCCGTTCAGATACTTCCACTGCGAAGCTTCCAGTTGAGCGCGGCGTACCTACACAATTACTTGTAACACAATGTGTAACACAAAATAAGCAGTTTTCTGCTCAATCGTACCTTCTGAGTCAAAGTAAATGACTTTATTTTACAGTCAAAGTGCAACCTAGCTGCGTCCCTCGGGGCTCTGTCCTCTCGCCTATTCTGTTTAATATCTATACGTACGAGATTCCAAAAATATTGTCCGCGTTTGGTGTTAAATGCAAAGCTTTCGCTGATGACATAAAGATTTACGCGGAGGTTGACAGGGAAGAGGGCACATCAAGAATTTCTTTGGCAATTGACGCGATGTAATAAGTGGTCTGATGAATGGAGGCTCCCACTTTGCCCAGAGAAGACCAAGGTGCTACATCTTGGCCTGAATAATGGGCGCTCTTCATACAGCTTAAATGGTTTTAAACTTACAGCGGTACCTTCAACGGTAGATTTAGGCTTTTCATGTCAATGAAAAGCTTGACTTCTCCAGACATTGCGATAAAATCTCCTTTGCAGCCCAAAGAAGAATCTACAACTTGTTCAAAGCCATTTCTTCATCTAATCCTAAAGTTCTTCTCGCAGCTTACAAAACCTACGTCAGGCCAATGTTAGAATACGGGACGACTGTGTTCAACCCATCTAAGCAGTTATGCATAAAACGGCTGAGGCAGTCCAAAATAGCTTCACGCGCAAATTGTTTCTCCGGTGTTATGGCTTTTCTTACCTATCAGTGCCGGATTCCTCGTCCCGTAATCAAGCGCTTGGATTAAAAACCCTTTCGCACAGAAGGAAAGTCAATGATATTGTCATGGTCAGTAAAATCCTCAATGGACAAGTCAAGGTTCAGTGCTCTGACTTCTTCCAACTTTTGCCATCAGTTACTAGAGGAAGTCGTAATAAGATAAATTTCGCTGCAGCTCGTTTTAGTCTCAGGCATCACTTTTTTGTCAATCGTGCCGGTCAGCATACACCAAAAACATCCTCAAATCTTATCTCAACCGCGTACTCCAGTGACGTTCCAGTCTTTTCCCGCCCTTTTGTCGATTCCTCATTTCACCGTACTTTCAATGTTTGCCTTTTATATTTCGGTGTTGTGCGTTTTACTTTCTTTCCGGTTCTTGTTTTGTGGCCATTTGGCATTATACATGCGTGTCATGTAATAAACATAACATAACATAACAGAAGATGAAAAAATGATGGCATGGCACGTATGGTTACGCTATGACGCATAGAGGTTATGGCATGGACATAACCTAGTTTCAGGACAGGACGATGGGTCTACTCTAGACCACGAGTCGTTTAGCCCAGTGCAGCCGCAAGTTCCTCTGCCGTTGTCAGTCGTCGCCACTTCGCTCACTTCAGGGAATTTTCAGCTGATGGTGTGACCTCACTCAACATCCCCATCTCAACATCCTCATTCGGTGGAGTGAAGCTGCCTTTCGTGATTCTTGTTCAGGGGCCAGCACTCGCTGCCGTAGAGCATCGCAGGCCTTACCACTGTCCGGTACACCTTCCCTTTGAGCGTTCTGGAGCACCTTCGATCGCAGAGGATTCCAGTGGACTCCCTCCATTTCATCCATTCACGTTAACACATTGACGCCCGCGCCGATTTCGGCGCTTGTCACACATGTGTCATTGGCGGTATTGCGTGCGTGCATACTCGGCGATGCTTTAATCTCATATGTGGGACATTTCGTGCGTTTTCATTGCGGGACCCACATAGCAGATTCGTTGGAAGGGCGCGGGCAAATTTCGTTCCCTATACTGATTATGAAGTTTTTCAAGTTTTGCTTGTTACTACGGTTTATAGGTCCAATAAGTGTTTAGCTTGGTTTCGTACGTATTTCTGCGAGCTAGTAGACGTGTTGATTAGGAAAATTTTCCGATAATAGTTTCGTTTTTGATTGCCAAAGAAACTCGAAGTCTGAAGCGCAAACTGCATGCAAATTTCGTAATTGATGATAACTTGTTCAGTAGGTAGGCGTATTAGAATCTGATTGTTTGTGTTGAAATTGAAGTTGTCGACATGCCACACGTTCTACGGATTCATGAGACTAACGGAAGACAATTAGTCAAAGAAGTACTGAAAAAGGTTCATGGGGGAGCAAAATACAGATGTGCATACCCGGCGAT